GAGGTAGTCATGATCTTTGCCCATCGTGGCGTGGACCTAGTGGTCGCCATTATGGCTGTTCTGGCGGCAGGAGCGACCTTCTCAGTACTAGACCCGCTGTGAGTCTAGCTTATCAAACAGCTAGTGACCTACTGACATCATTAGATACCCCCCAGACCGCCAATGCATCTACCTCGAAGTCTCCCAACCACGCGCACTCGTAGTCATCGACAACGCCACCCGCGAAGCCGGTCCCATCTCAGAGCAAGTGAGGGACTACGTCAAGGACAATCTACAACTGCGGACAGAAGTCCCCGCGCTCGAGCTCAAGGACGATGGAACCCTCGTGGGAGGCTCCAAGGACGGAAAGGACGTGTTGGAGGAACAACAGAAGCTCAAGGCCGAGCTGCCAGGAGTGCTCGTCGGTCCAGACTCAACACCCACACTTTCCTTCACATCAGGATCAGAGGGAAAGCCCAAGGGTGTCAAGGGCCGGCACTTTTCGCTAACACACTACTTTCCATGGATGGCAGAGACATTCGGACTGTCTGAAAACGACAAGTTCACCATGCTCTCTGGCATCGCCCACGACCCTATCCAGCGAGACATCTTCACACCACTGTTCCTCGGTGCGCAACTACTCGTACCCAGCAAAGAGGACATACAGCATGAGAAGCTTGCCGAGTGGATGCGCAAGTATGGCGCGACAGTCACACATCTCACACCCGCCATGGGCCAGATTCTCGTGGGAGGCGCTTCCGCCATCTTTCCAAGCCTGCATCACTCCTTCTTCGTAGGCGACCTACTAATCAAGCGCGACTGCAGGAGGCTGCAGAACTTGGCACCCAACGTACGCATCGTCAATATGTATGGAACCACAGAGACACAAAGAGCTGTCAGTTACTACGAGCTACCGAGCTGCACCGAAGCGCCCGAATTCCTTGATACCATCGGTGAAGTCATCCCGGCTGGTCGTGGCATGAACAATGTTCAGCTTTTGGTAGTGAACCGCGAAGATCGCACAAAGGTTTGCAAGCCCGGTGAGAGTGGTGAGATATACGTACGAGCCGGTGGTCTGGCCGAGGAATACCTGGGTCTGCCCGACTTGACTGCTACCAAGTTCGTCGACAACTGGTTTGTGGACCAACAGAAGTGGGTAGATGAAGACAATAAAAAGGTGGAAAGCCAAGGTGCCGCTGAGCCATGGCGAGAGTTCTACAAAGGCCCACGCGACAGACTCTACCGCTCTGGAGATCTGGGCCATTACTCCGAGGATGGTAACGTACACTGCACAGGCCGAGTCGACTCGCAAGTCAAGATTCGCGGCTTCCGTATCGAGCTTGGTGAGATCGACTCACATCTCTCTGCCCATCCTTTGGTGCGTGAGAATGTCACACTATTGAAGCGTGATGCATATGAGGAGCCAACGCTAGTCAGTAAGTTTGATCTTCATCCTAACTCAAATGTTTGCTAACATAATAGGCTACATCGTTCCTGAGATGAAGCGTTGGTATGACTGGCTCGAGGAGCGCGGTGCGAAAGATAGTGATTCCGCCGATGACACCAGCATGGTCACTTTATTGAAGCGCTTCAAGTACCTGCGAGACGATGTGCGAGAGCATCTGAAGAAGAAGCTCCCCGCATATGCCGTTCCGTCAATCATCGTCCCGCTCATTCGATTCCCGCTAAACCCGAACGGCAAGATTGATCGACCGGCACTGCCCTTCCCAGAACCAGCGCATCTAGCAGCGGCAGGTGCGAGGCGACCTTCACAGTTGGGCGCAGCCTTGACGCCAACTGAAAAGACCATGGCCGGCATCTGGGCTGAGCTTCTGGGTGACCGCGGTGTGACAGCCGACGGCATCAGCGGAAGCGACTCCTTCTTCGACCTTGGAGGCCACAGTATCATCGCTCAGCAACTGCTCTTCAAGATCCGGCAAGAATGGAGAGACATCGATGTACCAATGACCACAATCTTCCAGTACCCTACGTTGCGCGGCTTCTCGGCAAACATTGACCAGGCTATGGACCCTATTGGTCTGCGTCTGGACACTGCAGAAGCCATCGATGAAGATCCAGAAGACGAGGCCTACTCTGCGGATGCCAGAGAACTCGCTAACCAACTGACCGAGTTCAAGACTAGAGAGCCGCTGAATCCCAAAGAAGAAGTACATACTTTCCTCACTGGCGCGACAGGCTTCTTGGGTGCTTACATTTTACGAGACGTCCTGTCGAGGCCCGGAAAGGTTACGGTACTCGTCCGTGCAAAAGACATTGATGCTGCACTGGGCCGTGTCAGGCAAACCTGCTCTGCATATGGCATCTGGGAAGATAGCTGGGAATCACGCCTGGAGCCTCTCGTGGGCGATCTAGAAAAGGAGAACTTTGGCCTTGAACCGAATACTTGGAACAAGCTCGTAGACTCTGTCGATGTTGTCATCCACAACGGCGCATTGGTACACTGGGTATTGCCGTACTCACGTCTTCGCGGACCCAACGTCATCTCCACCATGACCGCTCTCTCAATGTGTGCTGCGGGCAAGCCCAAGAACTTCGGTCTTGTCAGCTCAACATCAGTACTTGACACGGACTACTTTGTCAAGCTGTCCGAGAAGAGCCTGGCCAATGGTGGGACAGGTGTTCCTGAAGAAGATGATCTGGAAGGTGCTCGTAAAGGCTTGGGCACCGGTTACGGTCAATCTAAATGGGCTGCCGAGTACCTCACACGACAGGCTGGTCAAAAAGGGTTGAGTGGCTGCGTCATTCGTCCCGGCTATGTCTTGGGAGACCCAGAGTACGGCACCACCAACACCGACGACTTCCTCGTGCGTATACTCAAGGGTTGCATCCAACTCAAATCACGACCTGACATCACAAATACCATCAACATGGTTCCTGTGACTCATGTTGCTCGCGTTGTTGTGGCATCCTCGTTCAACCCGCCCATCGCGCCCCTAGGAGTCGCGCAAATCACGTCACATCCCCGTATCACCTTCAACGAGTTCTTGGGAGCCCTTGAGAACTTTGGATACAATGTTCCTCTTGTTACCTACCCAGAGTGGAAGCAAAACATGGAAGCCTACGTGTCTGACCGCTCTGGTACGAAAGAGGAGAATGCTCTCCTACCGCTGTACCATTTCGTTACTGGAGACCTGCCTGCCGATACCAAGGCACCTGAACTCGACGACAAAAATGCGGCAGAAGCATTGAAGAAAGATCAAGCATGGACAGGCGATGATTGGAGCAAGGGCGGTGCGGTGACGGAGGACACTGTAGGTGTGTACGTCAGTTATCTGATCGAGCTGGGTTTCATGCCGAAGCCGGAGAAGAAGGGCATCAAAGAGCTTGTCATGAGCCGACTGACAGATGCTATGCGGGAAGGTATGAAGCTGGTTGGCGGTCGAAGGGGTGTCTAGATCATCCTTGTCAGACCCTGTAGTGCACATTGAGGTCATGTTTAGCAAGGGATCCGATCTTCCATTTAGAAGGGAATCGAGAAAAAGCACAAATTTTTCATATCAACCAATGCCGCACTCAATGATCAGCATGTACACATGTCGGGAGTGCCAGATGCTCGTGGTTCATCGCGACGTCCTCATCAAGACTAACACACCGTTCGTTGACGCTGAAGTATGCAGGTGCTTAGGCGCTCCTTCCATCGCGACTTCCATTTACGTCGAGTGACATCACGGCCCCATCAAGGTTACAACACCCCGCCCAGCGCCATAGAGCATCCTTCCTCGCAATGCCAGCTGCTAACCGACGTTTGCCTTGCAGCTTACATTTCTTTCCATTATTATACCCGGTTCGCTAAAGTTGTCCGCGGGGCGGAACACAACTCCGCCATGCTGTGTATTACCACCGGCTGTGGCTGCAGCAGAACGCTTATCGCCAGATCACTAATGATTCCGATGCCAAGGAGCACGCGGTGAATGCAACAACACTGAGGTGGACGTCACTGGCAGCGCTTCGTGCTGTGTGGCATGAGGCATTACCAAAGGAATGGTAGGTTTGAGCCGGTCACTGCTGTCCGTTCGATCAGGGTGCGAACAGCATGCCGAGAAAGCGACGGGCTTATTCAGGTCAAAACAAAGCACCTGATAGAGACCAAGCCAGCATAGCCAGCGGACGCGAGGACAACTGGCGCCTTCAACAGACTATCTGAGCTTCTCATGTGCCAATGCCAAGATCGAGATCAGCAAGGCCAACTTCGTTTCAGCCACGCTTGGAGCCCGGATTCAGACTTCACAAAGCAACTTGCAGCTATTTCCGCCAACAAGCGCTATCAAATGCGCTCCGCCGTTCCGACTTGGATTGGCGATGCGACACAAGGAGTGCTCGCGACGTTGCACCGCGGGGCCGTAACCAGCCGCGCCTCTGTGGTCCCCTCGTTATCTAGGCGGATTGGAGAACCGCATTGGATTCTTGTGGGGTGTCATGCCTGTGGTACAACAGTCCACGATCCGTGGGTTCAATATTTCCTAGGCACAGCTTCACGCATCCAGCGAACAGCCTAGACGGACCATGGTAGCGCTTGTTTCCGGCTTGGCGCGCTCTCAGAGGGCATTGCACACGACGACGAGGTGCACCAGCGTGCGACGGTCCGTTTGCTCAGCGTTGCTCAGCATCGTCGGCGCGAGCCAAGACAAAGGGCGAAGATGATAAAGATGAGAGCTGGGGGCTCCAACGACATGAGGCCAGGTCGCTGCCGCGAATTCCGTCTTTGGTCTGAGCGGCGTCTGGAAGAGAGTTGCGCTGGGACCGCCCACGCGAGCCGTGATTGGCCGTCCCCGTCTTGAGATGCTCTGCCCAGCCCCAATGCCGAGCCTTGGGGATGAAAGCCAAGCCCAAGACCTTCTCCCAAGGTCTTGAGAGCGTAATTGTATGTAACAAGAGTCTTGCCTCTCCTGAGGGAAGTCTCCGCCTCTTCTATAACATGCCCGGCACCTCATCGACTTCGCATGTCTCAAAGGGTCGTCTGATGCCCGTCAACCAGTGACGTCGACTACCAATTGCCGGCAATGGAATCCCAGCGTCCGCCGGTGTCATGTTCGGCCACTCCCCCCCAGCAGAGCCAACCGCTGCACCAGCTATCAACCAACGCATCGCCCGACGAGTACAACTACGCCTACAACGAGAAGGAGCCATACCAGCGACAACAGACCATCCGCATAGACCGTCACAGCAAGTCAAGTTTTGGCCGTGGCCATGATTCCGTCATCTCGCACCCGTTCTCGCCAAAGGCATCCTCTGCGCCAAGCCCCTGCAGCAGCATCTCCTCGATCGGCCAACAACGCAACTCAACAGCCGAGATCCGATACTCCAGTAGATCAGAGATAGAACGAGGAAGCATACAATATCCACAACAAGCGCATCTTGATCCCGAGAAGCATGGCTACGGTTCGTCGCAAGGCCGCCGATCTCCAAACCGTGTGTCTGCGGCTGGACCAGACGGCGATGCGATCGTCTACGACAAAGGTGCCTACCATGAGAAAGGCCCAGAGGAGAAGGCATGGCAGTTACTGGTATGTGTTCTACTTTCTCGAAGCCCTATGGAGCGTGGCTAACAATATGCAGTTTTGGCTTTGCGGCCCCTGTGCTTTCCTCTCCGGCGCCATCGCTCTCTGGACGATCTTCGCCCTCCTGATCTCGCTCGCACTAGCACCATTGCGATTCTGCACCAAGCGCCCGTCATTTTCGGAACAAATCACAGCCTTCCTCGCACCAGCGCTGAACCTGCAGCTACACCTCGTCTATTCTCACGACTCAACGACTGGTTACAGCGCGCCTATGCTCGTCGTCATTCACCTGTTTTCACCAATTGTCGCATTCGGTGTCGCAATCGCCGCATGGACCGCTGCAGGATTCTGGTTTTTCTCGTTGATATTAGGAGACCCTGGAGGTCACGACGGACACAACGATGGCAAAGAGAGCATCGTCGGCGTACGGAACTGGTGGGAACGATGGCTCTCAAGGGGACTGCGAGAGACGCATGTTTGAAGAGAAGGCTATTGCTACGACGACGAGTTTTTGTTTTTACCGCTCGCTCAGTGATGGGACGAGCGATGTTTAAGCGGCATATACCATGGCGTACTTTTGTTTTAGGGGCATTGGACATGAAGGAATGCTGATCTGGGATGACAGCACGGCGTTATTGGGCCTCTCTGTGTAAGAGTAGGAGAGCAAACGGAGCTCGATATGATATACCCCATTTTCCTCGAATACCACAACATCTCTACAACACCTATAACGTCTCTCGCACATATCCCTCGCAATTGACAGTGTACCTCGTACGAAACAGTTTACACCGTTACATTTCCAAGCAAGTTACCCGCGCTTCCAAGCCACTACCCACGCCTTACCAAGGAGTCCAGGCGCAAACTCACCCGAACTCAGCCCCTCGGCCCCTCCAATGCTTCGAGCAACGCCACACGCGTCCAAGACGCATGGCACCCAGAGAGCGGAAACCCAGTTGCCCCGACCGCCCGATCCAATCTAATTGCAAGCCACACATGGGGATTGAGCATGTTAACAGCCCAATGCTTACCGCCGCTCCGCCCATTCCGCTACATGTGTTTCGACACGTTATCTGCTCACCGCAACGTAGACTTCTTCTTGCGGCAGACTTGCCGTCCAAGACTTGTGCCAATACCGCCCAGGTTCCGCCGCGGATACGCTGGATACGCTGTTTGCGCTATGGGGCTCCGCTCGGGCTTGGGGTTGGGGAAGAAGGAAGGGGTGGGAAAAGCAAGGGCGGTGGTGGAATGTTGGAGGGTGTAAACAGAGTACATGTTTGGGCAGTGGAATTGAAGGTCTTGTGAGGGGTGATGAGCTAAGAATCTCTTAATATAAGCCTAACCTTTGTCTACATCATCTTGCTCATCACCGAGTAGACACGCGCATTCCTCGTGTTTAGTAACTCATATCACCAACCCACCCTACACACAAACCAGGTATCCCCATCACAGCCGCCAAGGCCAACACCAACACGCAATGCACCAAGAACCCCAAGCAGTCGTTCGTAATAATCCTCTCGTGATGAGCGGAATAATCTCGTACCCAGGCGCATCCATACGTAAGAAAGCCAAGACGTATTACGGTGGGGTTTCGCCGAGTGAGAGACCCACGGACAGATGTGGTTTCATGTGGTTGCGCGTCGCTGGCGCGTTCGCTTTACGACGCTGGAGATATGTGTGTATGTATGTGCAGCATGGCAAAGGCAAAGGAAAGAAGTGACCGGGTACAAGACGGGTAGGTCGGCTTGATAGCACTCTTAGGTCGCTAGGATAGAGTTCTGTGGGTGTGGCGGGTATGTCCTACCAGTCCCCCGATTCCCAATTCCTGGGAACGGACAGGCTAGGTGATGAGTGTCACAGTTGGTAGATCGTCAGCTCACTCGGGTAGAGTTGCGATCATTGTACATGTCCCCCATACTGCAGTCTGGCGATATGAGACCGATTGCTTGGACTTAGGTGACGAGCTACATGCTCGAGGGAAAGTTCCGCGCGGGAAAAGGGCCGAGGAGATGAAGCTATCTTTCTCGGTCCTTTTCCCTTTCCTTCTGCGAGCTGCGTTTGCGTTCGTTGCCAATGTGAAACCGGGATGCCCATCTGACGTGTGTCTGGGCATGCGGATATCACGGCTTGCGCTGTTTATGCGATGGGTGTGATCGTCGCTGTGTTATGTGAGGGTGCGGCGCGCGGTGTTCAGAAGTGCTGGATACATAGGAACGGTATGCTGATGGTATGTACATGCTTGAGAAAGTATTTGTATTCATCGAGCTGAGCTTGCGCTGGAGTTTTAATGCGCAACTGTAGATTCGTGTTCGTATTCATCATGCTCGTTACGTACTCTGCTACGATCTAGAAATTCTTGACAAAAACATTAGGGCATTAGACATAAGAGTAAACATATGTGTACGGAAAAAGTATGTATGGTACAAGAAGAGGAAGAGGCGGAGAATGCGGCGTTCCGTCCGCGTTCATACGAAAGCTTCGGCTTTCGTGTGGAACTTATGTGCGGGCTGTGAGACGGTATGTGTAAGGTCTCTGGTATCGCAGTGCGATTCGGATGATTACTGGCGATACGACAGGACGCATTCGTATAAAACTGATCGTGTAATGCTGATGAATGTTGCTTTACTTCGTCGTTTTGCTCCTGCCAGTGGTGGCGTGTTATGTGGTCGTGCTATCATCTCCGGTTGGGAAAACTTCAATCGTTGCCGCTCGAATGTACTTGTCGTATAGTAATCTGACTCTTCATCTTCTTATGGCCTCTGCCCCGCATAGTTTCTCTCGCCATGCAATTCTTGAGGCACTGTTCTACAATCGAAGGGTCGCTGTCAAGGAACTGCTCGTTCAAAAACCAGCTCGAGCTCCTTTGCACAGACAGCCGCAAGCAACTCCTCTCACTCCCGATTTGCTTCTGGAAGTAATGATCGAGGAAGGCGTAGGAATCATCGAAAGTTTTGTAGCAGCTGTTGCATGCAAAGGTCGCTTTGTCGTTCGTCGCCATCGCGTCGAGCGCAATGTGCGAGGTGAAGAGTATACATCTGGACGCTGGCAGTCCGGAGTGTGCCGCGACCGAAATGCATGCATCACAGTGCGGGCATATCTCCCTGTCGTCGTGTTTATCATGTGGGAAAGCTTTCTTGGCGCGTAGTGTGCTCGATTTGGACTCTTTGAGATCTTTTCGCAGGTTGTCTGCGAATGGACAGAACTCTACTTTGAAACGTGGAGGGGGTAGAATGGGCGATAGGATTGGCGATTCGAGACGTGCGTATTGTTCGCGCAGAGCAGTAAGGCAGGCGCGACGGACGCTTTTGGCGGTCGTAATTATGTCGTCAATGGGTATCGTTGGTGTCGAAGAGAAAACGCTGTCGTAAAGTGGTTGTCTGATTTCGTATTGGATTCGTAGGAGTTGTGCTGAGAGGATGGTATTGCATTTTGCTACACATGGTCAGTCTCTATCATCTCGGGGTTGAACCGCGGACTTACTGTCGCCTTCCTCGAATCGTGCCCCAAATCTTGCTTTTCCTTGCTCCATGATCCTTTGAATCTGTCCCCCTAGGCGCAGAGCTTTGCCAACAGCGTCGTCGCGGTTCTTCGTGCCGAGACACAACCATTTGGAACGCGTGCGACGATGCCGCGCCTGCCACTGTTCGTACGCCTCATGCGCATCTTGGAATTCGCGATCGATATCCCATAGCGTAAGAGACCCATGTGTCGATTTCTCCCACGAGACAGCCATGTTAGACATTACACCAAAAAATACGCGTATAGAATCGCAAAAACAAACAAACAAGAGGAAGCGGGGAAAGCAGGCGAGCGACGAAGGTGAGTTTCAGAAGGGAACAACTATCCTTAAAGCAGGAAGAGGTCTACCGTATGGGGAAATATCTCCAAACCGCACGATCTCGATTAAGACGCAGAAACCTGAAAACGCAAGGGCATTGAGAAAACAGGGTCCACAAGCTTGCGGGTGCTGCGCTGGCTTTACATAGAGCTGCGAAGTCCTGCGTCATGTCACCTGCAGGTACCAGGGCCACCGCATAGGGAGGCTCGCAGGCGTGGAAATTAACTGCATATCCATTGCCGTGGCTGTGTGGCGGGTCTGGGCGATATTGAAGGATTGAAGAAGCGAAAGATTGCTCCGGCACCTCATTCTCCTTTCCCAATGGTACGCAAGCTGCTATGTGCCGCCGACCAGGAACGACAGGTCCATGTGGGAACATGCTGGTCCGTGAAATTCAGAGAAGGGAACTATAGCTGGTAATCATATCGCGGGTGCCGAGGATCGTGATGAAGATGCAGGGGCAGCAGCAATGATCCCTCGCGCCATGGTCCGAGCACTCCCGTATCCTCCGATTAAGGACGCCTTATTCGAGTCGTGGCACGCTACGGTAATGACAATCACCGCTGCATTGAATTGGCCTTTGATATGGTCGTGAGTGTTGTTCATGCGAGCGGCGCGTCGTCGCCTGTCAGCCTATCGCCGGTGTTATTGAGCGAAGCTTCGCTACCAGGGTTGCGCCGGATTGAACCCCACGTCTCTCGTCGTGTCGTGCCCCACCATGGAGATCCTCGAGCTTCATTCCTGCTTGCTGGCTTACTCTGTTGATTGATAGTCATACTACATCATACAACAATGTCTACCGGCCACTCACACGAAGGCGCATCGCATTCGCATTCGCACGAGGTTGCGGATCACGGCCACACGCATGAGATCCTCGATGGGCCGGGGAGCTACCTGGGCCGCGAGCTGCCCATCATCGAGGGAAGAGACTGGGAAGACCGGTCCTTCACTATCGGAATTGGAGGGTATGATGGACCCCGTGTGACATGTTAATGTCAATATACTGCTCGGCCGACATGATGCAGGGTTGACATGGCAAGATATACTATATTCTCATGATACTGACCAGCCTAGACCAGTAGGCTCGGGCAAGACAGCCCTCATGCTAGCCCTGTGCAAACACCTCCGAACACGCTTCTCCATTGCCGCGGTAACAAACGACATCTTCACGCGAGAAGACTGCGAGTTCCTCACCAAGAACAACGCCTTGCCCGCGTAAGAGCAGCCACAATACGCACATTGCCGGGGCATGTTTGACACGAGTATAGTGAGCGCATCGTCGCTGTCGAAACGGGAGGCTGTCCCCATGCCGCTGTCCGCGAAGACATCTCCGTCAACCTCATGACGCTCACCAACTTGCACCAAAAGTTCAACACGGACCTCCTGCTCATCGAGTCCGGCGGCGACAATCTCGCTGCCAACTACTCGCGCGAACTCGCTGACTTCATCATCTACGTTATCGATGTCTCGGGTGGTGATAAGATCCCCAGGAAGGGTGGTCCGGGTATCACGCAATCAGACCTGCTGGTCGTCAACAAGATCGATCTTGCCGAGGCGGTAGGCGCGGACCTAGGTGTTATGGAGCGGGATAGCAGGAGGATGCGTGAGGGTGGGCCGACTATCTTTGCGGTTGTCAAGAGGGATCA